TATTGGAATTGTTTATCAGTCCAAAATCATTTATATCAAAACTTCATTTTATAATAAAATAATAATTTCCATCAAAAATATTTTCAACACGAATCCGGTCAACAATCCGGTCAAGCATCGTCCGATTTAACCACAAGATTAAAATCAAGTTTGTCCGGATATCAAGTCCGGACAACATACCACATAAGCTTTGATCAGTTTAACACTTAGAAGCAACATCATTTTTGTTCGGATATCAATGTCCGGACAACTATCCGCTCAAGACTTGACCGATTTAAACTAATCCGGTCAATAAGCCGCTTAATGCTTGTCCGGATTAAATACTTGTCCGGTCAATAAGCCGCTTAAGACTTATTCGGTTTATACTAAACCGGTCAATAAGCCGCTCAAGGCTTGTCCGGTTTAAACTAATCCGGTCACTCTTTGTCCGGATAAACACTTAAACAAAACTATGCAAGGTTTCTTTCTAAAGAATAATAACATGAAACATACAAATAAAACCAGTAGTAATTTTATGCAAAAAAGTTTAGAAACCACTCACCTTAACAAGCTTTTGAAACCAAATATTTGCAATCAACTTGAAATCACCTCCTTTTTGCAAATCCGGACAACTCTCTTTAAGTCTCTCTCAAAATAGCAGGGGAAGTCAAATGAAGAGGCTAAGACTCCTATTTATATTTCCCAAATATGGAAGGTCGGCTAACCAACTTTCCTTCCCCTTCCACCTCATGCATACCCACATATGCACACATGCACACCCACATATGCACACATGCACATACATACATACATTCATACCTCATGCATGCATAATATATATATATATATATATACACACACACACACATACACACACACACACACACACACACATATATATATATATATATACTTAACCAATTAATACACAAATTCTCATACCAACATGTATCAATTATCATGCTATCACATAATCATTTAGTCAAATAATCACACATTAATTACCTTGGGTAATAACCAGGATCCGGTTATCACATTATCCACCCCTCAAAAGAATTCCGTCCCGAAATTCCTTTAAACATTTAGCACATCTATTAAAAGGTGTCATTAGCACTCCTTTAAATAGACATGGCAACGGG